GACCTGACGCGGTTGTGGCCCACAAGCCTAGCGCGACTTTTGTCTGACCAAAGCACATCCGCATTCGTCAGCCAAGCCTTCACGCACCGCCACGGCAACAGCCCCGCTCCCATGGCTAGTAGTACTCAAGCCACACCAAGCTCACCACCAGCCACATGCATGCTGACGCCTGTCCCCCCACTGGGACACGACACGACCATGACTATGTGCGCATGAACTACTGTTCGCACCACCGACGCCCATTTGCCTCGTCATGTGTCTCTAGTACAAACGACACACTCTATCCTTCTTTGCCTGCATCCAGCCCGTGCTTCCTCTCCATGGCATGCTGTAGCAAGCAGCTTCGTCACCGCCCACGATGGAGGCCTTCAACTTTGCGACGTCCCTTGACTTGACTGAGCTATCTGTCCATGTGCGAATGTAGGAGCCCAGCCGTATCGAAGTACATGTTTCTTGCGTGCTGAAGGTGTATGCAGTGATCGTCTGGATGGGAACCAGAAGCCCGTTCCCTACTCGGTGCTGTTGAAGCGACCCGACCTTAGGCATCGCGCTTCCATAATCAAGTGAGTCGGCCCTCACTCGGTGCTTCGATAGGGACATAGGGCTAACAGTAGGCCTATAGCTCGCATTTCGAGCTATACGTCACGGCACAGGTGTGGGCCGACAGCAAGCCCCTTACCGTCCCAGTCCAGACTGCCTACAAGTCATTCAAGAACGCGCGCATATGGAATGAGTGGCTACAACTGCCCGTTACGTACGCAAACCTCCCTGCATCTGCCCAGCTAGCCATCACTCTGTGGGATCTATCGCCCGCCGAAGACAAACAGTCCAACCTCCATGCCGTTCCTTTCGGTGGCACAACGATACCGCTGTTCGACAGCGACAACACACTGCACAAAGGCAGGCAACGCTGTCGTATACACCGCTACAAGGCAGCCGATGGTCTGACCAACACCTCAACACCGTGGGTAATACAACCCGCGCGGAAACCCAGGAATGCCGAGGTAGTCGAGGACACCGTCGATGAGCAAGTTGCCGAGATGGATCGGTTGGAAGGGCTTCTCAAGAAGCAGGAAATGGGCGACCTTCCGACAAACAACTGGCTTGACGGGTTGGTCTACAAGAAGATGATGCAGATACGAAAGGACGCCCTGACGGCTGAGGCCGCAGCTCTCAGTCGACAAAGCAAGGTGAATGGGACCAGCGACATCGCTGCACAGGCCGAAGAACATGAGCTTTTCTATCTCGATATCGAATTTCCCCGCTTCGACCACGCCGTTGTCTTCACCGATGTTGAATACCCCCCACCTCCCGTCTCTGACTTACGATTGCCAGCCGAAGCCGACGTAAGGCTGCGCCCACCGCCAGAAGTCGCTTTTGGGCCCGGGATAGACATTGATGGGGTAGGGTACGGCGATGCGGACGCAGAACGGCTAATCAAGATTTACGACCCCGAGGTTGGGCGAAGAGTCAACCCCGCCGAAGACAAACACCGTGAGTTGATGCGTAGCCAGCAGACCGATTCGTTGGACCGCGATCGAAAACCAAACGTGCACGCCCGTGACAAACTGAACATGGTCTTGTCCAAGGGACCCCTTGATGAAATAACGTCGCACGAGCGAGACGACATCTGGAGATTCCGGTATTTCTTACTCCGCGACAAGCGTGCCTTGACAAAATTTGTCAAGTGCATCAATTGGAAAAATCCACGAGAAGTTCGGCAAGCAGCACCACTGCTGGAAAAGTGGGCCGAGATTGATGTTGATGACGCTCTTGAACTACTCGGACCTCACTTCGACCACCCCATTGTTCGAAGCTATGCTGTGGAGCGTTTGAAGAAGGCCGATGATGAAGAACTCCAGTTGTATCTGTTGCAGTTGGTACAAGCGCTCAAGTACGAGGCACCAGGCGAGGCAGACGATTCGTCACTTGCACGTTTCCTTGTCACTCGTGCCGCAAACAGCTTCACTTTGGGCAACTTCTTGCATTGGTATCTCATGGTTGAGATTAGCGACCTCAGTGCTGACCAAGCCCCCGAACATCGTGATCTGTTCGCAAAAGTCGAGTACGACTTTATGGTTGAGCTTGAAAAAACGCCAGAAGGCATCAACATACGGAAGACCTTCCAACGCCAAGGCGAGCTACTTACCATCTTGGCTAAAATATCGAAAGATGTACGCTTTGGCGGTGGTGACCGGCCTACGAAGATTGCGCGTCTCAAGAAAGCAATCGCAGACCCCAAAAACGAGCTCACAAGTTTTGACCCGTTACCTCTACCTCTCGATCCGTCAATCCTAATTACCGGAATATCAACCGAGGATTGCAATGTCCTGAAATCGTCATTACTTCCCATGGTACTCTCATTCAAGACTACGACCGGGACACCCTACCCCATCATCTTCAAAACTGGTGACGACCTCCGCCAAGATCAACTTGTCATCCAAATCATTACTCTTATGGACCGATTGCTTCGCAAGGAAAATCTTGATCTGAAACTCACTCCGTATCGTATCCTTGCAACTTCGTCGTCAGCTGGAGCATTCCAGTTTGTGCCAAGCATGTCGATCGCTGCGGCATGGCAAAAGTACAGAGGCAGTCTCCTCGCCTACCTGCGCGCCAACAACCCTGATGACAATGCTCCGTTAGGCGTAAGAAAAGAAGCAATGGACACGTATATCAAATCCTGTGCCGGGTACTGCGTCATCACCTATATTCTTGGGGTTGGTGATCGCCATCTAGACAACCTGCTGCTCGCTCCTTCGGGCGCATTTTTCCATGTCGATTTTGGTTACATTCTAGGTCGCGACCCCAAGCCATTTGCTCCAGCCATGAAGCTCTCTCATGAAATGATTGAAGGAATGGGCGGAGTCCAGCATCCCAACTACTCTGCTTTCAAGCAATACTCGTATACTGCGTGGTCTACTTTGCGCAAATCTTCGAACCTGATTCTCAACCTCTTTGCTCTGATGCAAGGGGCCAACATTCCTGATATCAAGGTTGAGAGAGAAGGCAGCGTTAAGAAGGTGCAAGAGCGATTGGGTCTTGAGAGGGGTACCGATGGAATCCAGGGAGAGGATGAGGCTGCGATGAGATGGGAACGATTGATTGAGGAGTCACTGGGTGATTGGAAGGCTGGAGTAATCGATTGGGCCCATGACTTTGTTCAAGGTTGGCGGAAGTAGAATTTTATCTAGAGAGAAACGATAAATTCGAGCTCAATGATTATTCCCTCTTATGGCCAATGTCGCCGACGCAAAGTGCCTCATATGGAAACGGTAGTATCCCTTCTCCCATTGACTGCCATAGTAGCTATGGCTCCCTTTATGCACCGCACGATGTAAATGCAACTACAAAATCATTCCAACCAGTCCTTCTCAACGTTTTTCACCATGTCTGCAAGCCATGGCTCGTCTTCTTCATAGATTGAATCATCAAAACCATGTTCACCAGGCCGCGTGACAAAGTCGAATTTCGTATCCGGGAACAACTCCCTCGCTCTGTCTACAAACTTCTCCGTCCACTTGATAGGCACAATGCTATCATCCTTGCCATGCAAGATATATGTGGGAACAAAAGACTTTGCAGTCTCGATACGTGTGTCCGGCATGAGGTGCTGTCCAGTGCCAAAGAACTCATCCCAGCGCTTATATGCCAGCAGTAGGGGCATGATTTGGCTGCGAGCAGGCGGAATAGCTGCACTGACGACGGTGCCCGGTTTCACGGTTGCAAGAAAGTCGTCCAACTTTTCTTTTGGTGGGAAAGGGCCACCCAAGATGGTATCGTCCGGAGAATAAGGAATGGCGTTTACCACGGGATACTGGATGAAACAAGCACGGAATGTCTTTTCTGGTAGAGAAAGGACTGATTGAAGCGCCATCCAGCCGCCGGCAGAATCACCTGTCACCAGCACCCTGGAAAAGTCGGGCTCGATGGTGGGGTCCTTGGACTCAAGGTATGTGGGCAGCGAACACACAAGCCAGTCTCCCAGGGAAGCAATATCTTCTAGGATCTCATCGCCAGTGGCCTCTGGGGTCAGCCGGTAGTTTGGAACAACAGCGATTGCTTTGTTGCGTATGATGAGTGGAATCATATAAGCCGAGAACCATGAGGGGTACAGTGCTGTTCCCGTGGTCTGAGGATATATAGTAAGTAGTTGGTAAGAATGTCATCTTTGTCGGGCTGCTTACTAGACCTCCGCCGTGCCATTTGACCATCACCGGATGCTTCCCGGGTGAAATCCCTTTCGGGACAAGAACATTGACTTCGATTTCATGATCGCCAATCTTCTTGTATGAAGTGGTGTAGACATTCAAGCTATCAAAGCGGTTCTCTGGAATGGTGCGGAGTGACATCCTTGTGCGGGGTAGTAGTAATGCACGCTCAGCCTCGAGGGGCGATCAACACCAAACCGTTGCTTGAGTTAAGTACCAGCAGCTAAGCAGCGACCAATTTGTATTCTGCAGCTGCTATGATGACAAGTTGTTGATTATGTTTTGAGTCGAGTCTTGAAAGCAAGGTGAGTAATGCACAATTATTGTGAAAGGTCCCCTGTCGTAGTACGAGATATAAGGCCAACGATGGATTGTCACTTTTAGGCTAGTAACAGCTAGTTACTATCTCTATTCGTTACGTAACCTCGGTTCTACCTGCATTTTTGGCTCTGGATGCTGCTTAGATAATTATAATATATGTCTTTTCATTACGTTGTGCATGTACAAAACGCTGCCCAATAGCTTATTGATTTCTTTGGAACGTATCTGCCAATGGTGACATTTTGAAGGCCCAGCCCATTGAAACTGCCACTGTGGGGGGCATAGAGTGCATATATCAGTCATGTGCTTCGTGTCTCGCAAAGATTGGTCATCTTGGACAGTAGTGATCAAGTATCAGTATTCGCACTCTATTGTTGGAGACCCTCTATGCTTTAACACCGTTGGATTGTTCGCGCACAATTCTGATTTTCCAACTTGCTCCTACATCCGGATGCATTCTACCGCTCACTAAAGCTTAGCCTCTTCAATCTTTGTAAAGACATATGTTGCGGAGCCCTCAGCGAATACGGTCCCATGGCCATCCTCAACCCACCCACCTTCTCAATCTACCTACCCATTTCTTTATTGACTTTGGCTCTCACCATGAAAACACTAGGCGTAGTGATTGGCTTCTTGAACTTGACTGTCAATTCTGCGGCTGGAGGCTCGAGAGCTTCATAAGCATGGCATACGAGGTGGCCAAGACAATAACCCAAGAGTGTAGCAATAATGCCACCGTGATGCCGGTCAGCCCCGCCATTAACGTCACTACCAACAGAAACAAACCAATCAGATTGATAGACCATTGTCTATAAACAAGATTAGTAAGCTTTTAAGGCCAGCGTCTAAGAGATGTGCAGTACTTTGCTAACACTTATGGGCTATTTCCACTAACGAAACTTGTTGCGCAACTTCGACGAGGTGCGAAGAGTTCTCGCCACATGGTTTTGCGGAGTACCATGGTCGTCAACACGCTACGCCAAGTTGTATAATGACTCGGTTATAAGGGGCTTCAAAGCTACTACTATCTACTAGCTAAGAGCCTTGGCATTTTCAGCTCTGTGAACACGACATCAGGAATTCCTAGATCAGAGTAACAACTTTTTTTGACAAGTTACTTTACAAAAGCCGCCAGGTCAGATGGCTTAAGTAATTCATCTACATTCATGTGGTTACTATCAGCAGTATGAGCATTATATAACTTCCTCATGCTTTGGGCTGTTATCAAAAAGTTCTTGTGGCTTGCGCTTGAGCTGGGTCGATTCAGGGGTTTGTCCAACGATGCTTATAGCGCTATTCGAGCTTATACGGGGAATCAATACGTTCCTTCAACCCCGAATTTTCAAAGTTAGCAATGACGTTGGCATATTTTCTGCAAATGTTCGTGCCAAGAGAAATACACTTTTCCAATGGGTTCTGTCGTGTTTCAGCGCTGTTAGTAGGTTGACTAGAACCAAATTTGTCATCTAGTGACTGCACATGACACTAATAATAGCTGTTAGAACACGGTTATGTAGAAAAGGTTTCTGAAGTCAAGTGAATTAGGAATAGTTGGCCTCCTCGTTCTTGTAACTGCGTTCCGGTGCAAGCTCCGCGCATGCGTCTTCAAAGATTCGTTAATGGTACGCCTCGCCTACAGTCTGGAAACCAATCTTGGATGGGATGATATAGTATAAAGGTAAGCTGTCGTATAACGGTTCAGAATGGATCCCTTACCTATCGCTGTCCTCGTTTTGCAGCAATCCCTTCTTTATATCCTGACATCCACCAACGACATGATCCCTATCACGATAGTGTTGCTCACCACAACGGCCTTCCTTGGGACCACGCTTGCTCTTGATGCATGTCCCAATGGCGAGAGGATCTATACTGGTGCGAGTGGCATGAGCTACAAACTATGCCCCAACTCTGATTTTCTGGGAGAAACTGTTCAAATCCGAGGCAATGTTAACTCGCTGGAAGAATGCGCTGCTATGTGCGATGAGAATAAGAATTGTTATAGGGGGGTTTATGACCATGACTATCGTTATTGCCACATCAAAGGTCAGGGTGATATGCGTTGGGAGCCGAGTCAGCAGTTTGACGTTATTCAACAAAACTTCCGGGACATTGCTCGCTGCCCAGGCCAAGAGACGTCTTACTCCAGTAATGATGTAAGTGATTGATCGTCGTTCACACACAGGGCATCAGTACTTACTCCACATTCAGAAAAACTACAAGATCTGTCGCTCTTCAGATCTCCGGGGTGGTACTCTTCAAATTCAATGGAATGTCAACTCATTGAATGACTGTGCTGACCGTTGCGCTCGGGATGGCGCATGTGTGTAAGTGATCCTGACAATCTGACGATATTTGCAATAAAAGCTCATGTTGTTCATCCTCAACCAGCCATGCTTTGTGGGACGAAACTTATAAAGCCTGCCATTTCAAGGGTAGTCAGGAAACAGATACGATCATCTGGTCATTGAACAAACAATTCGATACCATTCGCCTCGATCTCAAGTTTCCTCGAGCTACCAATGGCGAATGGTCTGATCTAGTGTGGCTCCCTCTGATTCCTGTTGCTGGCTACGTGGTTCCTGAATTCCCTTCTTCATCACGATTACTCGTGTTCAGCGCATACAAGCCTTTTGAGTTTTCCGGTCCTTTGAAGCAGACTGTATTCGGAGATTACAACTTCAATACGTAAGTATGGCCAATGCGCTGCGTACGACGTATGTCTAACTCATAATAGTGGCCAGACGTCTTTAAAAACTGTTGCTAACACCCAGCACGACATGTTCTGTCCTGGAATCAGTAGTCTCCAAGATGGCCGAATCCTGATTCAGGGAGGTGCAGACGCAGCTGTAACGAGCTTTTACAATCCGTCGACTAATGAGTTTACTCGTGGTCCTGATCTTAAGAAGGCTAGAGGTTATCAGTCTTCTGTTACAACCTCTGAAAACAAAATCTTTACTATCGGAGGAGCATGGAGCGGTGCCCTTGAAGGAAAGGATGGTGAGGTTTATGATCCAAAGAGCAACAATTGGACGCCGCTTCCTGGTGCTAAAGTCGGACCCATGTTGACTCAGGACAATGCTGGCATCTGGAGAGAGGACAACCACGCTTGGCTGTTCGCATGGCGAAATGGCTCAGTCTTTCAAGCCGGGCCTAGCAAGGCTCAGAACTGGTACGACACCGCAGGCCAAGGCAGGCAAGTCGGCGCAGGCATCCGAGATGACAACCACGCAATGTGCGGCATCTTTGCCATGTATGAGCCCGGTAAGATTTTCAGTTCTGGTGGCTCAACGTCCTACTCCGACGTCGCGTCCCTTACTCGTGCGCATATCACTACCATCGACAAGCCATATCAGTCCGCCAAGGTCGAGCGCATGCCTGACATGGCCTTTCCTCGTGGCTATGCCAATGCCGTCGTGCTTCCAGATGGCACGATCTTCATTACCGGTGGCCAGCGGTGGGTTAAGGGATTCCAAGACACCGACTCAGTAGTTTATCCCGAGTTGTTCAACCCCTACACCAAACAGTGGCGGACTCTGGCCCCAGAAGCTATTCCCCGGAACTACCACTCCATCAGCATTCTGCTCGCTGACGGCCGTGTCTTCAGCGGGGGCGGTGGTCTCTGCTGGACTGGCGGAAATTGCGATCCACATGCCGATCATCCCAATGGGCAGATATTCTCGCCACCCTATCTCTTTAATTCTGATGGTTCGGTCGCCACCCGCCCTGTCATCTCGAGTGTGAGTTCCCAGTCTATCAAGGTCGGCGGCTCGTGTACGATCAACATGTCAGCAACAGCACGGAATCTCAAATTCGTGCTTGTGCGCATGGGTAGCGTAACGCATTCAGTCAACACTGATCAAAGACGTATTCCCTTGACAAATGTTTCTGGAAGCGGCGCTCGCTACACAGTACGCCTACCAAATGACAGTGGTGTACTTATCCCCGGAATGTATTACTTATTTGTCTCGTCCGCGAATGGTACGCCGAGTCTGGCGAGGACGATACAGATAACATTATAAAGCAGGAGATCTGAGAGCTTGATGGCATGTTGCTGTGGCATCGATGCACGGTGTTACCAGTTGCTGGTAGCCATGTACGAGTTACGGTCGGATGGTTGTACCATCCTGTACTGCAGTCCAGCCAGTTCAGCACGATCCTGATTAATACGACAAGTTCTTCCACATGACAGGTTTTCAAGCCCTGCATGCTTATTGGCTACAATCCACACAAGGCCTGAAATAGCACGATATCCATTCTAGGACATGACGTCGGGTGGTATCTAGGTTAGCATTTCTACTCTGTTGGCGGTTGTATTTAGTTTCTTATAGAGAGAGACGAAAACCATAAGTGCAGGTGAATTCAAAGAGTTGTAGCGCTGATTGAGTCACTTGTAAGAGCGGTCGATGCTCTACTCCAGTTTAAAGCATTCCACATACTTCATTTTGACCCACAGATAATCCATAATAAATTGTTCTATGAAGCAGCTTCCTCGGTGACCTATTACGCGACCTGTTCAGGATACAAAGTGAACTTACTAGGTTGAAACCTCGACGGGGTTCGAGATCGTGCGTGACTGCTCCTGATAGGAATATTTGAAGTAAGGCCGACCATCTCGCTTCGTCGTAGGTGTCATTGTGTCACCAAGTCAGAAGTCGATTTCAATCTAGACTTTGGAAGAGCATCATCGGATGCTGACCCAAGCCGAAATCAACAAATCGGTTGTCATGTTGAGCGAAGTCATCCGCATGAACACCTGAGACATGTTCCACCTCTGTCGAATCAACGGCGAACCAAACTTCTTCACACCCAAATTATCCTTTATTCGGCAAGTTTGGTGGAGTCAGTGATGTGGACCTACAACAATGCTCATTGGGAAAAATCTCAACTTCAGATCAAAACAATCAAGTTTGAACACGTTTCTGTGCGTACCAATAGCATCATAGCATACACGGCAGTTCTTTTTCAAAATCGCAGGCAAGAAACTGTCAATCGCGAATCCATTCAAGGAGTGTGTACCTGCGCGAGGGCCTCAGAAGCCGCTGAATCAACGGGTATCTAGTGCGCATCAACTACCTTAGGGTTTCGAGTGTGAGGTTTGCATCAAGATTAGCAGTTTAGGCACATGAAGACAGATTGCACTCTATACAAGCTCAGCTAGGAAGACACAAAGCGCATCGATTATCAAATGAATGCCTAGATGCTACCTTTCCCAAGTGAACTACAAAGCTGCAGAGTCCGTGAGTATGGCCATACGATAGAAAGAGCATCAGAACTGCTTGTACAGATTACCGGATAAACATCTGAAATCTGTAAGAGCGAAGAACAGATATGCGATGCTGTACTTATTGGAAGGTGCTATCCCTGTTCAAGGTTCCATAGTACGTAAGAGCCCAGTGCTAGCTCGAGATGACTCACTTTTGCTCATTCCAACATCATCTCACTTTAAGCTTCTGTTCCGACAAGAAACACGATTTGAAATAGTTTCTCATCATCACTCGTTAGCAAAGCTAGACTTCACGAATCGGGAAAGATCAAAGGAGCCAAAGTGCATAGAAGAAGATTGTGCATCTATTTCAGATAGGGCATTACGTGTATAGTGACAGTACGTATTCGTTCAATGAGTGCGGAAGGCTGGAACGTGCCGCTTCATGATGAGATTTCTCCCTTCATACTTCATATAATACGTGTAATTCAATTTTGCGCATTTCTGCCAGCAGGGATGCCTGCAAAACAATTGTTGTCCTTACCACTCTCCAGTTTTGCGATTGAGATTTTACCCCATATTTCCCGGGGATTATGCGGGTGGAAACGGGAGCAGACGAAAATATTCGGCAAATATTGAACGTGAGTTAGGGAAGCTAAATATGATCGACTCATATTTACTCACAATGATATTCCTTCAGCGCACATGCATATGTTGTGCTGCAACATCACGTGATTATCCTGCAGGTACATATAGAATCTTCTTTGAATTGGTACGCAGTTTTACTTAAAACGACCTAGGATTTCAATCCTAGAATCACTTTAGCTATTTCTTATTGTTTGAGCCTCCCTTTGATAGATTGAGTACAATCACGCACCATGGCGCTGCATACACCGGAGATAGTGAGACTGTGAATAAGACATTCCCCAATCCAACAAAACACAGTAGCGGTGAAGCTGTAGGTGTAAGGTCCGTACAAGTGTAAACCCCGAATCATTCTCAAAGATTATACATTTTTTGCCAAGGTGATAGTTCCCTGAACGTGTGCTCCATGATCACAATTTCCCGACATCGTCTGAAAAGAGAAAACACCCCGACCTATTCCGATCGACTTTAGAACGCATGGATGCTGATATAAGCGGGTAGTCCTCTTATCGTCCCCTCTTAAAAGCATCATGGTCTTATGTTATAAACTAGAATGCCAAGGCCCATGCCCACGAGACAGGCGAAGCGCGCAAAAATAAAGTTGCAAAACAAAAACATACGACAGCGGGTATTCGCCAGTGGTCACCCACCTGACTACTAATCCGCCGATT